GTTAGTCTCAGTGAGTTCCATTGCTTTTTTCATCACCCCTTGCTATCTGCTAATCCTGAGCATTACTACCAGCCTTGCCTATAGATTAAAGTTTGCACTCATGTATGCTAAACAGTGTCGTTCACTTAAACTCGTACTCAACGGTACAGTATCAAAAGGCGCCCAGAAGAGCACCAATGACAAGAGATATTCGTGTTGAAGAGCACCGACGCCATGGTAGACTCATGAGTCAATTCATTCAATCAGATTCAGATTGAGCCGTGAGTGTGCGTCTGAATGAGTCCGGTTGAGTCCGGCTGAAGAGACTTTTGTGAGTGTTAGCCTGGCTAACCAAAATTTTGTTGAGTCCGGGTCCACATGAGCGCTAAGCGCAGTGTAAGTTCACTTCACAGTTTTTATCAGATTATGGTGAGGTAGATCACTTATCATAAAAGACGACACCAACGGCGCACAATCTGGCTGCAGTTCAATCAGTCGAGCTTAACACAATGCATTACAGACTTGCACCATCAACTACTTACCTCCTAATGCTAAACAAGCCCAACTAAGTCATAGCTTTGGCCTTCGGATATTTTAGTTCGTACACGTAAATCAGTCCTTTGCAAACAGCTTTTGTCTCACTTATTTTAGGCTGCCTTACCAGTCTTTTTTCAGTGTAAACTCCTTTCTACGGCACTAAAAAAACCACTCTAAAAACGAAGTCAAAATCAAAACTTGTGCGATTTCGACTAGAACTCACTATTATCATCATCATAACACACTTTCGCATGGAGAGTCTTATTTTCGTCTGTTCCCGCTCTGCATTCTCGGTCAAAGGTGTCAAGGTAGGGTGACCTAGCCAACTGTGAGGAGTCGTTCAAGTTTGACTGATAACGACAACCTCTAGTGAAAAAAGCAGAGTACCTTCGTGCAACACCTAAGCATCAGCAGTGAGCTCACTTGGTGCGGATCTTCCTACACAAAATAACGACCACAGCAGAAACATCTGAGGGCGTAAGTGCATGATCGGCGATTTGTGCGCGAGCTGGATGCTGTTCACACACCAATTTCAGCTTTATTTTACCGTTGCAAGTCAAGAAACTGCATCTATAAAACGGACGGTGTTCCTCCGACTTTCTGTAAACGGCGCGCCTGTTGCCTTTATTAACAACAGTTTAGACCTCGGTCCTCCAACTGAGGCTTCTTCCGCAACCAGAAATGCGCCTTTCTATTGTGCAGAAGACGCTTCATGCACACTATACGCTGATACGCAACACAGCGTACACCTGCTACACCCTTCGCTGCTTAAAGCGGCAAACTAAATAACGTCTCGGGTCTTCCCCCACTGCCTCAATCCTAGAAGTGCATGAATGTAAAAATTAGCAGCAGCGCGACAAGATGATCAGACAACAGAGCTCTCCAGGTATTATTCACCATTTGTGTGAACTAGCGTCCACAATTGTCATGTAGAGAGATCACCAAGTTCACCAAGCAGTGGCAGCTCACACACGGCTTTCAGCTCAAATCACCCTCAGTCTAATTGAATATTTGACATTGTGGTAAATGCTGCTAAGCCTTTATTCAAGGAGGCATTGGAAGTTGTTCATGAGCTGCACTTAAGCATTTTGTATCAAAGATATACACCACGCTGGAACAGTAAAAGAATCCCACCTAACTGCTGACAGGCTACTACACCTACTCTGTCGACAACAAACATGCTGCTTAAAAACCTACGCTGCACTAGCAGACTTAGTAAGAAAAAAAATAAAGAGGAGCTACTACAAAGAGAAAGCATGGCAGCTGCTTTTGCTGAAGAAAGAAGACTTCATTAAAATTGTAACTGTTCACGCCTAGAGTGCCATAGAAAAAAAAAGCGTTGTTGTGGAACGAGTAATGGAGAGATCTTACAGCATTGAAGTGCACAGTGGCATGCCAAGGAGAAAAGAGTGCACCTGTGACATGTGCCTCACCAGCTTTTGTTGGGACCAATCAGAAAAAACACTGCAGTTGACCAAATGCATCAGTCGTCCAGACAGCTGCATAAACGTGGTGCTACTGCTACATCTACTACATAGGAAGCTGCGTGAAGTCATGCAAAGAAATAATTGCATTTCATAAGCAGCTTCGCCTCAGTTGTGTGTCTTCTCGCTCGACCTATTCGAGCAAGGGAATCACAATTGGTGGGTGCATTTGTTCAAGCTGACATAAGCTTTACAGTTAAAGTGAAGCTGAAGCCAGGCCTTGGACAAATGGCAAGAGGACGGCAGTGGTCTGGTGTTTGTGTTCTGCATAGTGTGTTGTGCAGGCTTGGCATCTCTTTGTTGGCGTCTCCCAGATTTGCTGTGGGGGATATTGCGTGCAGATTACTGTGCCCTTTCACAATACTGCAATTTGTGCTTTAGGTTTTCTTACCAACAACACAGTATATTCAGGAGACCTGCTTTCTCCACGTTGGTGTCTCCTGTTTGTATTGTGAGTGATTGCCCTTGTGTATTAGTGTGGCCTTTCATTGTGGTGCAATTAGATGTTTATATTTGCTTGCTGACAAGTCCTGGTGACAAGTCCTGGTGACAAGTCTTGGTGACAAGTCCTGGTGACAAGTCCTGGTGACACGCAGCAAACACCAGGCACAGTCTTCGTGCTTGCTGTGTGAACCGTGAATGATAGCTCTGGCAGTAACAGATTACCACGTTTTTTATCATGGTTGAATTTTTGGCTGATGTTTACTTACACATAGTTTAAAGAAGAAATGATATGCTTTCTTGACGATTCAAGTTCCCAACAAAAGGTGCTAGTGCAGAGCACATGTAATAGCCGCTCTATCGCATTTTCATCAGTCACAGATGCTATCAGATAGTTGAGTACGGCAAACAGTTGTCAAGGCAGTTTCGAACCAGAATTGACACCAATTGTTCGTCGGAAAGCTCAACATTTCTATATATTTATTGTAAGATTGACTGTCCGCATGGAGTTTCTCGAATCGACCCGCCTCGTCGAAGGCTTGTGACACTCTAGTGTGTGTGTGTTTTCCCTTCCTCCCACTCTCTTTTTCTCTGTCATTCTGTTTTCCTTACTTTTCTGTCTCCAATTCCCCAGTGCAGGGTAGCAAAAAAGATACTTGCTTTCCAGTGAACCTCCCTACCATTCTTCATACGATATCTCTCTCTCTCGATCGTAATTTTTCTTTATAACTATATCCAGTCACAGATTTTCCTCTTTGTATGTTTTGCTCAAATCTTTGCATTGCTTTTTATGTTCCCCAAGAGTAAGGGCTCTGTAAGACAGCAGTTTTTCTAGCGCCATGGTTTCTATTGGTTCCACCTGCATCATTCTTGCCAATCGTAGGGTTGTGATGGCTGTTGCCTAGCATCATGCAAGAATGTAGGTCCCGTTTTAGTAGATCTGTTTTTTGAGTAATCTGAAACCACTCTTTAAACATAATCGTGGTGATGTATCATAATTCAGGCACAGTTTGTTTCCACAACTGCTTGCTCACTTCTTAATGTAATGGTTCCCATGCTATTTTACAACTACACAATAATAATTAAAATATACAGGTAATTTGTATTCTTTAGGTCTGCATTAATAAGAGTTGAGATAAAGCCTGCCTACAGCAGGCTTTTTGTAGCCTTGAAATTTGGGGTCTGAATTACTTTAACGGGGGTCCTAAAATGCTTGCCCTTGCACATCTTTTTTTCACATATGAATTCACTGTGTTTAGTGTATCTAGCTACAAACATAACAGGGCAACGCAATGTTCTCAAGCATGTGATTATTTTCTGGTGTTTATTTTTTTGCCAATGCTGTCACTCTGTGTGGAGAATGTATTGTGTGGAGCGATAGGGGCCTAGTCAGGTGACTCATGTCGTTGTTTTTCGTCTCCTGCTCTACGGAAATTGTGTATTGTCAAACAAATAAATAAATCAAAACAGATAGTGGAGCTATATAAATAAATCAGATTCATAGAAAGATTAGTTTGTGAAGAACTTAGGCTGAATTGTTGTCTGTATTGTTCGTGTTTCTTCCATTGCTTACTCAACCACACTAACTAGCCACTGTCAGCCATTATTCATATGAGTACTCGAAGTTGAAAAAGTTCCCATGTGTGTTATTGGATGTTTCAGCGATTATGTTCTCCATGTTGTCTCTACGTTTGCTGTTAATCATGGGCTTGATGTCTCTATATATTGTTGATGCAATGTGATTATTTGATTGTTGTTGCCACACAAAACCGTCATGTTAGGGCAACGTGATAATTTAAATGTTGTTTCCTCCTTAAAAACAACACGTCAAGACAGCGCGATTATTTCAATGTTGCTACAACATTAAAAACAATGTTTTATGGCAACGTAATACTATAAACGTCGGTGCAATGTTATATTTTACTCTCTAACGTTGCCTCACAATCATCGCATTCAAGGCACGTTGACTCAACGTTCTGTGTTACTTGGGAGCTTTGTTATACTGTTGAGGTTTAACTGTATTAGTGAAGTAGCTGAAATAGACATTACCATATGAATTGTATATTTTATTCACTGCTTTTAGTCACAATTTTTTCACTTGAATGACAGGGTTTGAAGCACTTTATGAATATAGGACACTCTCGTCAAACAGAACCCAAGTTAATCCGTAAAATGTGCCGTTATGCAGAAGTTCCACTTGCTCAGAAATAAATAAGACAGGAGAATTCAAGTACGATTATTAGGATTATGGAAACGATTGAGTTTGTATGACATCAAGAAAAACTTCAAAGCGCCGAAAACAAGTCGGCAGATGAAGAAGAGGGGGGCACTGCTTGTGCTGTATGAAACCAGCCATAATAAAGAAAGTTAATCTATTCAAGCCGCAATTCTGTCTGAAAAGCTTTTTTGTTTTACCAATAGTCTACTGTGTCAGATTGTTGAAGCGGTAGTGGCATTGGACGTAATTTTCGGTGAACAAATTCGACCCTTTAAAAAACAGAGGCATATTGTGGCACTTTGTCTCTTCTGGGCCTCATCTGTTTTTCCGTGCAACTGCAGGCTCGTTTCCTGGTGCTACAGTGGAGAAAAACTCTTCAAGTAGCTCTCCTCTGCTAAGCAGGTGAGTGCAAACTCCTGGTACTTTTACTTTAGGGTTTTCTCAGCAAACACCACATTTATCACTCATGCACTTTCGCTGCTGAAAATGCAGTAGTTTCATGAAAGCCAAATTTTAGCGGCGCCGGGGCACATAGCCTGCACTGCGGTATTTCCCGCGAAGAATGCATCGAAAGGTATTTTTTGCAACCAGGCTTCTTTTAAACATTGTACCATCCACCTTTCGCATGCCTGGATGGATGGATGGATGGATGGATATGGCTGTACCCTTTAGATCGGGCGGTGGCTAGCGCCACCAAGCCGTAACACCTAATGAACCAAAAACTATATTTATTTTTTTTCCTTAAAAAGTGAGTTTGAGGATTCGTACTTTGCAGTGAAGAGTTTAATTTTCACTCGTGTCTTGACTTTAGCCACCAATCAGATAACCTCCTTCTGGTTAAGTCTACCCGCTTAAAGTTTATTTTGCCCTCCCGGTCCCTAAACCCCAGTGCTTTGAAAAACTCTGCGCCATCATCCTGAACTATAGGGTGAAGCCCTTTACAGAACATTATCAAGTGTTCAGCAGTTTCTTCTTCCTCTCCACACGCACTGCATACTGTGTCTACCCCTTCGTATTTGGCCCGATATGTCTTGGTTCGCAGTACTCTCGTCCTGGCCTCAAACAGTAGAGAACTACCCCGAGTATTGTCATAGATCCTTTCCTTGGTAATTTCCTGCTTAAAAGTTCGATAGATCTCTAGTGCGGACTTCTTAATCATGCCCATTCTCCACATGTCAGTCTCCGTTTCCTTCACTTTCTTCTTAACCGATAGTTCTTTTTGGTTTGGCCACCTGCTGTTTTCTAAGTATTTACCAGTCAACTTCCTGGTTCGCTTCCTCCATTTTGTATCGACATTCTTCATGTACAAGTAGCTGAAAACCTTCCTAGCCCAACGCTCTTTCCCCATTTCTCTCAATCGTTTCTCAAATTTTATCTTGCTGCTAGCTTCCCTGCCCTCAAATGATGTCCATCCCATATCACCTTGTACTCCCTGATTTGGTGTATTCCCGTGAGCTCCTAAAGCAAGCCTACCTATTCCACGTTGCTTAATTTCTAATCTTGCTTGAACTTCTGATCTCAGGCACAAGACCGCATTGCCGAACGTCAGCCCAGGAACCATGACCCCTTTCCATATTCCTCTCACAACATCATGCCTATTGTAATTCCACAGTGCCCTATTTTTCATGACTGCTGCATTCCTGTTACCTTTAGTCGTCACGTATATTTCGTGTTCCTCAGATACTCGGTCCCATTGCTTATCCATACGCCCAGATATTTGTATTTATCTGTTATCTCTAGCGTGACCTCCTGTATTCTAAGCTCACTACCTTCGTTGTCATTGAAAATCATGACTGCTGATTTTTCCTTACTGAATCTAAATCTAACCTATCTCCCTCATTACCGCAGATGTCCATCAATCTCTACAAATCTTCCTTGTTGTTGGCCATTAGCACTATATCATCTGCGTACATTAATGCTGGTAGTGCCTGATCAATAAGTTTTCCTTCTTTGACTAAAGAGAGGTTGAAGCCCAGTCCACTTCCCTCTAATTTTGCCTCTAATCCTTGTAGGTACATCATGAATAATAAGGGTGACAGGGGGCACCCCTGCCTAAGCCCCCGTTTTACCTCTGCAGGCTTTGGATACCTGTTTTTCCCACTTTATAACTACCTTGTTACCTTTATAGATACCCTTTAAAGATTAGTGACTACAGGTTCCACGCCTAGTGTGTCCAGTATTCCCCACAATTCCTCTTGAACCACGCTATCGTACGCTCCCTTGATATCTAAAAATTCTAGCCACAGGGGCCTGTGTTCCTTTTCTGCTATTTCGATGCACTGCGTCAGTGAGAACAGATTGTCTTCCAACCTCCTGTGTTTCCGAAACCCATTCTGCAGTTCCCCAGCACCCCCTCATCCTCTATCCACGCCTGCAGTCTTTCCTTATAATTTGCATCGCCAGCCTGTAGACCACTGATGTCACTGTTATAGGACGGTAGTTGTTATGTCAGCTTTTTCCCCCTTTCCTTTATAGATCATGCTCATCCTGCTAAGTTTCCATCCATTGGGAACTTCACCATCGATTATTATTTTGCTCACTGCCTCTCTCAAAGCCTGCTTGGACTTCGGACCTAATGTCTTTATCAGCCTAATTGGAATGCCATCTGGGCCTGTTGATGTACTACAGGAACCCCTTTCTTCAGCCCTTCCACTCTTGTTGGGAAAAAGGAGCCATTGCACCACTTGATTCGTCCTCTGTCTATTGTGGGCATAAAGTACTTCTTTGTTGAAATTTTCTGTCCCCCTTGTTCTTATATATTCAATAGCTTCGTCACCTTCTAGCCTAGCACCTTGGGCAGTAGTTATAAAACTCTGCTCTAGGCTCGTCTCATTTCTTAGGGTGTTTAGATGGTTCCAAAATTTCGCAGCTGCCATTCTATCTTTTTTATGTACTTCTGCCAGCCACTGAGCTCCCTTCCTTCTAATCTTTTCATTGATCAGAAGGGATGCATCCCTTCTACAGCTTAGAAAGGTTGCCCATTTTCTTTCAACATCATCTGTCAGTTCACCCCGCTGCTTAGCATGTCTGTGTTCCCTAGAGGCTTCCTGACGTTTTGCTATGGCTCTTTTAACTTCCTCATCCCACCAACTTTTGGGTTTGTGTCTTCTTTTCCGGGGTAATTTGTCACGCGTCTTAACAAGCTCTAGCTCAAAGAGTCTAATTAGATTCGTGTATGTCCACACTGTCTTGTTATCCTCCGTGATTACTTTCTCAATTTGTTTAGTGGCTATTTCAATTTGCCTTTCTGGATAAAAATTTTCCTGTAGTTGCTCATCTTGTCTCCTTCCCACTTTCACTGCTCTTCCAAAACTTAGCTTGATACGTTTGTGATCGCTACCCAGACTTCCGGAGCCACCTTCATCTATGTGCATTCCCCTGAGCTTATCATACATCCTATGTGACATCAGTGCATAATCTATCGTCGACTGAAGCCTTCCTACCTCCCATGTTATTTGCCCTTCACACTTCTCGGTACTGTTGCAAATGATCAAATCAAGCCTTTCACACATATCCATGATCATTTTGCCTGTCGGGTCGGTATACCCATCTATATCTTCTATGTGCGCCTTCATGTCTCCTAGTATAATTATCTCGCACTCTCTTCCTAACTCCTGAATGTCCTTTGATATACACTCTACCATTGTCTGGTTTTCCTCTCTGGCCTTTGCTCCCGTCCACAAGTACACGAAACCAAGGAGTGTCATTTGACCTGCCACTTTCCCTTTTAGCTTGACCCTTTGCCAGTCTGTACTTTTATGAATGAATGCCCCAATACCACCCCCCCTTCTGCTGCCTTCTGTTCTGTTACAATATTCCCACGCGTAGTCCGGATTGTTCGGAGGTTGTTCCATGTCCCTGAGATGTGTTTCTACAAAACCGTATACCATCGGCCTCTCTTCCCTTAGCTGTTCTTCTATCTCTTCCCACTTCAGCCTGTTCCTACCACCCTGCATGTTAATATACCCTATGTCTGAATTGGCTCGGCGCTCGTGGCTGCGTCTATTTATGCCCCGGACTCTACCTATCTTAGATATTGGTGCCACTTTGGAATCGTATCTGTCCATACCAGCTGTCGAAGAGTCTCCCTGGTTGTTTTCCTCGTTACTAGCCTCTACAGCGCATGCGCTGCCCCCTGGTGGCGGCTCTCGGAAACGATCTGTGGGGAGCAGTTACAGACGCCGCCTGTTTTTTGCGGTGGCATCGGCGGTGAGAGTGATGTGTGTGGTGCGGGTGGCACAACCAATATATTTATCTAATAATATGGCTCTTTAGCACGATGCCGGCAGCTAATACAGCTCATAGATGAATTTCTGGTGGCGTGGCCAGCAACAGCATTATCTTTTTTTCCCACTTCTCATTGGTAAAACATGACAATCAGCACCTTCAAGCGTGCGTAAGGGCCATGATGCGCCACAATGACGACGACAGCTCGTGGCAGCCTTCCATTCTGCAAGACAGTGTGAAAAGCAGTGAATATAATGGCATGTTTGTACTAACCAAACGAATATGACAAGTTTCCGGCAGGGCGTGAAACAAGTGTGCGCTTTGTGTCTGTCTCGTCGTTCAGCAGTGCAGTAACGATGTACGACGCTTGAGCAACAGATTTTCTGTGTATACGATATATTTTTGCGTTTGTTTTCGAAAGACGACCACCGACAATTATGGTTAAGTGCGCCTTGGTTTATTTTGATCTCAAGGTAACTAGGCTGCTCATTCTGGCGTCTTCTACATATCAGAAAAGAGTCGCTGTATATTGTCGGCTTGACCATCCTGATAGCTAAAGGGAGTAGTTACGTCACTTGTCATTTACAGATTTCAGCGGTTCAATGATCTTGTTGAAGCACATTTGTCATTCGGTGAAAAAGCAAAAAAAGGCTGTCAGTGTTGATGTGAATGCCATGATAGATCTCGCGAAATTACAACGTGCAGGCCTTTTTCTTGTCACCGCAGTGCGATGTTCCCGGATTTTGCAAGTTCGCCGCCCCACTTACCCCGGGACCACCATTTGGGTTAAAGAGATGAGAAAGTACATAGCTCGCGACATTTTCAGCCGTCCGCGTTCGATCAGCGCCAGATGTTCAGCTGAGCTGAAATCATGCAACGTGCGCGTCATAGGATGATGTCCCCTTCATTTCAATGTGCAGGTCAGTAAGCACTGTGGTCCCACCCGCAAGTTGCACCTGCCGTTCACATCGAGGCACGTCATTCAGTAACAGCATTGCTCTACGCTCTCGTAGTAAAACATTGGGGCAACAGCAGGCCAAAGCAGGGGCTCAGTAGTTGATATAGTTATTATGAATACCCCAAGCAAAAAATTATTTTTATATTCAACCGACAAGCCAGTAGTAGGCCGCAACGTCGTTGGTAGTCCTCACTACGAATGTATGCACTATGCACTT